CTTCGACTTCACCATAACTACACGAATCTCTCACACTATACTTTAACTGCGTCGAAACTTTAACCCCAACGACAGAACGAAAATTAAGACAAATTTTTTTTTTTTTAAGTTATATATATTTTTTAATTGGCCAATCACGATTTAATAAATCAGGATCTGCATGGTGTATATTTGTGGCCAATAAAATAGAACCTCTGTCATGCTGGATCAACAAAAGGTATCATTCCAACAACCCCTTTACTCATTATAGACGTAGCTAGAGTATTGAGTTTTTTCGAAAATCCAAAATCTGAAATTTTAATGTCTTTTTTATGGACAAGAATATTCAAAGTGTGCTAAATTACAGATAATGTGCTTGTAAATAATTTAATATTTTTAGTTGTGGCAATTAAAATTAAATGCTTTACCAAATCACGATGTGTGATATCTATTTCATGAAGATAAGACATTCCTTCAGCTACTTGGCGCGCTAATCGTATTTTTTTCCACCATTCTAATTTATTATTTTATAGATATTCTCGTAAAGTCTCATTATCTGCATATTCCATTACAAGATAATGTGTTTTCTCTGTCTCGTCTATAATAAATTTTGAATCAAGATTCGTAGTTTGCAGAAAACATATAATATACAATTGTAAATAACATACTGAGACTAATCCCATAAAATTTAATAATTCGATCATGATTAGATCTACTGTGTTGTTTTAGCTAAAAATACCATTATATCTTAGAAAGCCAATAAATACTGTAATAATCTTGAATAGATACTTAAATGATACATACCTCATTTATAAAAAGCTTTTGAGCCTTTTCGTCTGTTTCTGATTCTACTTCCTTAATGGCTACATGACCTAGTGAAATGAGCTCTGCTTGATATACTATTCCAAAGCCCCCACATCCTAATTTTCTCTTATTTTTCAAACTATTATAAGGTATTTCATTCAATCCGTATTCTTTAACAACGTTTTTAAACCAGTTCTTGTAACTAAGTAGTCTAAATAGATTTACACATAAGTAAAAAACAGGAAAATAATATTTAATAAAAAATTATATTGATTTTTTACGACTATATACTTATGCTCTGGTGATTTAACCATTAATGAAAGAATATTAGTAAATTTATTTAGTAGAGAATTCTATTGACAATAAGATGTGTACATTATTTTACATCAATATTTTAAATGAACTGTATACTCACTTACTAGTAATTTAACATGTAAGTGAAAGAACAAAGAAATATTAACAATTAAATGTGTATATTATTTCATAAATAACTATAGACTTACTCCCTAGTAATTTAATATATAAGCGAAAGAATGGAGAAGTGACTTTTGTAGACGAAATATGTGCATTATTTTACATCAATATTCGAATGAACTGTATACTCACTCCCTAGTAATTTAACATGTAAGTTAAAGAACAAAGAAGTATTAACAATTAAATATATGTATATTATTTTATAAATAACTATAGACTTACTCCCTGGTATATGTATTATTTTACATCAAATTAGCATAAACAACCAAGCTAGTACCAAATTTGGATTAAATTTGATTGGTAGGTTGCACTAATTTGATTGGCCTTACCGTAATGTCCTGGTAAATTAACGCATAAGAGAAAAAACAAAAAGTAGTATTTAATAAAAGAATTCTATTGACAATAAAAATGTGTGTTATTTATAATTAAAATATAATCACCGTCTAGTAATTTAGCATGACAAACAAACAGAAAAAGATTTAATAGAGAAACTCTATTGACGATAAAATGTAACATTAATTAATGTTGCGGCTAAAGCGGAAATTTAACTCGTTTAATATAACATTTTTAAAAATATATGCAGATTTTAGTCATTCTTAAATAAAGATCTCAATTTCTAGCTTTAGCCGTGGCAATTAATGAATAAACTATTCTTACGTTCTGGTGATTTTAACACAAATAAAATGGATAGATAATATTTAATTAATTAACGTTAAGATTCAATAGAGCATTCTACAGATGATAAAATATATACTTACATTCTAGTAATTTAGCATATTAATGAAAAAGCAGAAATAATATTGATGGAGAATTTTATTAATAATAAAATGTGCGCATGATTTTAGGGATCAATTCTATACTTACAAACTAGTAATTTAATACATAAGTAAAGAAACAGAGAAATGATATTAAATAGAGAAATCTATTAATGATAAAATTATATACATTTTACTTTATAAACAATCTATGTACTTACCGACTGGTAATTTAATAATTAATAGAGAATTCAATCAATGATAAAATTGTGTACATTATTTTATAGAACAGAAAAGTAATAATTAATAGAAAATTCTATTAACAATCAAATTGTGTACATTATTTTATAAATAAACTATATACTTACTCCCTGGTAATTTAATACGTAAGTAAAGGAACAAAAAAATAATTATTATTAGAAAATTCTATTAATGATAAAATTATATACATTACTTTATAAATAAACTATATACTTACGCCCTGGTAATTTAATACGTAAGTAAAGGAACAAAAAAGTAATAATTAATAGAGAATTCTATTAATGATAAAATTGTGTACATTATTTTATAAATAAACCATATACTTACTCCCTAGTAATTTAATATGTAAGTAAAGGAACAAAAAAGTAATATTTAATAAAGAGTTCTATTAATAATAAAATTGTGTATAAATAAACTATATACTTACATCCTATACATAAGTAAAAGAACAGAAAAGTAATAATTATTAGAGATTTTTAAATAACAATATTGTGTACATTATTTTATAAATAAACTATATACTTACATTCTGGTAATTTAATACGTAAATAAAGAAACAGAAAAGTAATATTTAATAAAGAATCCTATTAATAAATAAAATTGTGTATAAATAAACTATATACTTACGTTCTAGTAAATTAATACGTAAGTAAAGGAACAGAAAAGTAACAATAAATAAATAAATAATTTTATTATTAACAATAAATTGTGTACATTATTTTATAAATAAACTATATACTTACCGAATGTAATTTAATATGTAAGTAAAGAAGCAGAATAGTAATATTTAATAGAGAATTCTATTAATATTAAAATTGTGTACATTATTTTATAAATAAACTATATACTTACTAACTGTAATTTAATAGTAAAGGAACAGAAAGTAATATATAATAGAGAATTCTATTAATAATAAAATTATATACATTACTTTATAAATCAACTATATACTTACTGACTGTAATTTAATATGTAAGTAAAGAAGCAGAATAGTAATATTTAATAGAGAATTCTAATAATAATAAAATTGTATATAAATAAACTATAATATACTTACTCCCTGGTAATTAATACGTAAGGAAACAGAAAAATAATATATAATAGAGAACTTTATTAACAATAAAATTGTGTGCATTATTTGATAAATAAGA